TTGTCTCTCCCGTTCGTTCGAATCTCGCACATTGTTGCCGGTTTGGGCCTGGGCCGATCTCTGCGCCGTAAAATCGACAGGGAAAATATCGAGCCTGGCGCCCACCACGTGGCTTTAGAAACGCCGATTATACTCGCGTGTCTGACTTTATGACAATGCTCACTCGAGCGGGAAACAAGATGAAAACGTCGTTACCGTTAACCGGAGTAATCTATGGTACGTCGTTATGTGCATAAATCCGTACAGAGACGCTTACAGTCGAAATTGTGCAATTTTGCCGATTATTTATACCATAATTTATCCCAGGATCGAGAGATTCTGTTCAGCGCGCGATAATCCACAATACTGGTTCCCAACCGATACAGATTGCCTGCCGGCTTATGCTCTCACCGGACGGCAGTGTTCAATTCGTTCTGAGACTGTCGACTCAACCGACCCTGAACCCACAATTAAAAAAAAAAAAAAAAAAAAAAATTTTANACTCAGCTATCACAGCTGGTTCAAACGTGTTACGGCATATTGGCTCGAAGATTCTCAGTAGCAGTTAAATAGCTCGATGTTTTGAGACGTAATTTGCTTCTTTTTTTCCCAACGTCTACGGAAACGATCGAGCTGAAAATGGCTTTTGCGAATAGTACAATCACAATTGCTCGTGAGTAACGTATAGATCCGTGAAAAGGAGGAGAAAAAAAAACGACTTCTCGGATAACGTCACGGATTCATCGGGCGTTTTTAAAATAATATAGTTCACTGGTGCATCGTTGAAAAACAAAACGAAAATTTCAGAGAGATATTTGCAATAATTGCCACAGACTTTTCCCCTGTAACACATGGTATAGTGCAAGGAGCTACTGTATCGTAAGTCGTATCAAAATGTACGTGCACGTGTAGGATACGTATTAAAATCGAAAACTGTTACGTATCGGACTAAGCCTTGGCATTAGGCAACTTTGATAAAACGTTAAATCAAATTCGTTCGTATCGCGAAGTAACATGTGTAGTATACTTAAATATTATTTATATTCAAAATATATGCACACACACACACACACGTGCGTGCGTGCGCGTGCTTCATATTCTTTTATTTTAGTAACGAAACAACTTCTTTTAAAAATTTACGTTCGAGTAAGATTATCGCGACTAGAGCTATCTCGAACGTTCTTAAACAGATGATCTCAGAACGAGATTACCACGTTCGAAAGATTTAACTATTGAATATCGAAATTTATGCACATCCCATTGCAAAACGTAAGACGAGAATCGGAAGATAAAAAAAAATATACATAATGCAAAATAATTGCATTTCGTTTTATCTATTCTTTTATCTTTTAGCTCCTTGTACTACCATGTAATTACATATTCGCGTAACAATTTCATTGCACTTTATAGTTCCCTGTTAAATGCGTTTTACATCCAGCGTAAAACAGAGAACAATTATTTCATCTCGAATTTAACAGACCAGACAATTAGACGATAAGATCGAGAGAAAAAAAAAATAAAAATCGCAATCGTGCACGTAAATATAATTATAATAATTATGATATATATATATATAATTATTATAGAGTAATTATACGTGAATACAAGTATTTAGATGCGTTATCGTCGTTAACGGACTAACTAAACTTCGGACGTGAAAGTGCGTACTGATCGTGTAAAAATAACCTCCGGGCTAGCGATTCGTAATACCTGCGTACGTAATTTAAATTGTAAAGACGAAAAGGAAACAAGTTCGAAACTTTCTCTTCCCGTATCCCGGCATATCGATTTTCTCCCAAGCCGTCGCACGACGCTAAACACCGAGAAGAAAAGAAAAGTCTCGCGAGTTTACATGCGACATAGCACCCGTTGTCCGTCCGTAGAAACGCACGTTTTTTCTACATAAATTTTCGACGTCACAAATCAATCAAATGATCATTATTCATCGCGGAGAGATGCTGCAGATAGATATCGTTTACACAGATAAAGAGATTTTACAGAAAATATAGAATAAACAATCGGAGAAAAATCGAAGTCGCGTGATAGCATCAATATCTTCCTGTCATCAGTCCCTCTCTCTCTCTCTCTCTCTCTCTCTCTCTCTCTCTCTCTCTCTCTCTCTCNACGCGCATTCACTTTCTCGTGTCAACATTCGCACCTGTTTCGCAAACTCATCCTACCTATGACCAATTGCTTTACCGCAAAAAGAATTGACGTAAGGGGGAATAGGAGCAATATTACTCGCAAGAAAATGACCGCGGATTATTCTATCGAGAACCTAAAAGAAAGAATGAAAAAACAAAAATAATAGAACAACACTGGCTAAAATGTATTACGTCAAATATAATTTTGCTCAGTCCGCGGATTGAAACAATTTTGCCTGCGGTAAAGAAAGGGGGAAAAAAAAGAAACAAAAGTAATGTGTGTACCTCAGAAATTATCTCGTATACACTAACCGCTGTTGAATTTAAATCGCAATATCAAACCGATATCGTATTCTCCATCATATATCGTAAGGCCTTATATCTCGCTAATACCGTCGTTAATATTACCCTTAATTGTTACCGTGTTATATTGCTATATCATATAAACAGAGTAAATCAAGTCCGTTTGTTGTCCAGTTTGTGGTTACAGAAGTGGTGCAGCAAATTCGTGATATGACAGTTGCGCCCGTAAACTGTGGACAATGAAAATCTCGGTACACGCTATATCCTGGACAAAGGAACGGCTCTCTTCAAGGACGGGTTGACTCGACGTCGGTTAACGTTAACCGTGCCTACTAAATCCTATCCCTCCTCCCCTCCACCGTTCGTGTCGTAGCTATCGACCGCGATTCAAGAAAGGATAGGCAACGACTATCCCGAGTTAGTTGAGCAAGGCTATCGAATAACCGCGTTAACATTCCCTTTGCCCCGTTAAATCTTCGTCCTCGATGTATCTATAGATCGTATACCTGACTGCGCATTTATAGCATTGGATGCAACTGCGTCCGGTGTGGAAGTTCAAACGTGTTTATACGAACGTCACATATATAATATCATTTCACCTCGGCGATCGGATTTCGTCGTATTCCACGCTGAGTCGTCAGGTCGGAATATGTATATATGCGTGTGTTTCTAAATAAAGCATCGCATTACGTTCATATGTAAATTTCTTGGACGTAACTGATAGAACGACTATCATAGCGATTTCTGATTAGTATACGGTCCGTAATCTGTTGTATGAATAAGAGACAAAGAAAGAGAGAGAGAGAGAGACGTTCCCAATTGTCTCGTTTACCATGGATGGATGAACTTGACAAGACTCGTTCGCCACTTTAATTCTCTCCTCTCCTCTTCTCTCCTCTCCTCTCACTCTCTCTCTCTCTCTCTCCCTCTTTTGCCATCCTGCAAGGGAGATCTTCCTAACTATAGTAAAAATAAACCTTAAATTTACGTTACGCGCAACTTGTCACTGGTTCCTTTGAAACATGCTAAGAGTCAAACACCAAATATGATCAAAATGTGAATTCGCTGCAGCGTTGCGATAATTAACGTAATGTACCCGAAGCATTCACACATGCATGCATGCATGCATGCAGGCAGGCAGGCACGCACGCACATATATACACACATACACGCACCACCGAAAACGTTCATTCGATTCTTTCATTCAGACTCCTCTCATTACACCGATCCTCTTTTCTCCTCGCTACGTCACAGTTACGCTCGATTGACTCTCACTCTCCTAACACACGCCTATGAAGTTCAATGCCTTATACGCCTGCACGGCTACTTCACTTGCAGCACATAACACACAGAATAGCAAGAAAATAAAAATATATCCAACAAAAAAAAGCGAAAGAAAAAAAAAACGGAAACTAAAAAGGGCTACCTGAAGTAAATCTCTCGTACGAGCCGCGTCTCTCTCGCAGTCCTTCCGAGATAATCGACCGACCGGAAAGTTCGTTACCAAAAATGATCAAACCCGCCAAGGAAAACCGTTGATACGGAAGCGTACTAAAATGTGATAACGATCGTTAGTCGGCCGGCTACTGAACGATCAATGTTGTCCGTGCTGGGGAGTGAGTCCCGATTGTGACGTTCTTAACGACGTAACGATTGTAACGATGCCAAAGATCAGGGACCAAAGTTCGACGGGATAAAAATGCGTACACGCGAGAACACTCGCGGAATGTCGGGAACGGGCGCGCGTTACGCGCGAGCACCCCAAGAGTTGCCACATAAGGAAGAAGATATCGCGCGCGCGCGAAAGATCAAACGCTCCCGGTTTTATCTTTTTCCGTTTCAAGCGGCGACATCGAAGCACATCGTTACCGAATCCGCAATAATGCAGCTTCGCTCTTATTCACGCGCTTGTCGTCTCGTCAGACCGAGGATCGTGAATCTCCTGTTCGAATTTCGCGTGTCGTGTTAATATGGATGATAATATATATATATGTATATATGTATATGTACGTGTCTCTTTCCGTATGTCCTTTTTGTAAGTTTAGCGGTATATGATAATCTAAAATACAATATGCTTATAGGTTTTGTCACAGACGGCGCGTGATGGAGTCCCAGAACGCGATATATATATGTGTGTATATATATATATATTCTGGTATATACACACATACATATGTATATATGTGTATATATATATATATATATATATCTCGTGGACAACGCGCATCGATCGCGGGCATCGAGACGCCGAGCACCGCGTTTATCGCGATATATAGTCTATCATTAGTCTGTATGCTGCGTATCTTAACGTAAAGAACAGACTGCGGCATTCACTCGGTGAATACTTGGTATTCGCGCGCGCGCACGCGATAAAATCGAAAGCCCGTGTGTAGCACGACCCGCACGCGGGGATGCAGCGATGTCTCACCGTTATCACCATCATCGTACGCATCGTTTATCGTAACCATGGCCCATCATTGTCGTCCCATCGTCGCGCCTTGCGATTGCGAGTTTCGAGACAGGCTGTCCCATCATCGTCGTCCTCTTTGGCCGAGGATCGACCACGATATTCTCTCTGTATCATACCTGACTCTTTACAAGCTGCTGCTGACGGCGGCCGACTCTTGAACGGCGTTGCTGGGTGCTTGGATATCAGGCCTGGATCTGCAGCACCATCGTCAGGTGCCTCGAGATATCCTGGACCGACTGGTGACAGCCGTTCATCAGTCTCGTGACCCAGTGGCTCGGCGGTTTCGGGAGGCTCGCGGGCGACGGCGGTTCCGAAAATTTGGCGCCCGCGTAAAAGCTGTTGTTGGTCGGGCTGCCGTTGCGCGGACTGCACTCGCCGCGTAGCGGCGAGTTCCTCGTGCTCTTGGACGGGGAGTGCTGCGGGCTGCAGCTCAATCGGCCGCCGCTGTTGGTCCTCACGTGGCGGCCGCCGCTGTGGAAGAACGGCGACGACTTGCTCGAACGATGGTAACGATGACAGTGGCGTTGGTGCCGCTCGGCCCCGACCACGTTCGGCGAGGCCTGCTGCTCAACTTTGTTGTTCAACTTGGGCGTGGAGTTCGTCATGGCTCGGATATCCACCTCCCTCTCGCGTCGGTTCGCTACTCGTCGTCACTCACCCTCACGTCCAACCCAACTGTAACACAAAGTTCCAGTCTGGATTTACTCTTTTTATCATTCCTCTTTCTCTCTCTCTCTCTCTCTTTAACCTAGCCGTAAGTAATACACACGCTTTTAAAAACGTTTCCAATAAGCCATTGTGCGGTGAAAGAGCTCGGAGCTCCTTTGGAAAGTGAAGCGTATATCCGACACGTGTGAAAGCAAATAACAAGCGCTTTCATTAGTTGTGAGATTTTCTTGTGGCACGATCAGCAGTATTTAATGTTGTTGACGATGCTTGTGAGCGATGTAATTGTGCTCTCACGCCGGTGATGATCTACAATTGGATTTTGCAGCGCAACTTTTCGAACGGGACTACGGTAAAAACATCACGGTGGTGACGAAAGTGCGTCACCTGGTCGCGGATAATTTGTCGAAATTCTTTCGTAGATTCCGCGAATTCTTTCTCGGCGGTATTCACAAGTTTCGCAGGAAATCGTGAATTACGAAGATGCGCGTAGTCTATGTCTATCGTACGAAACGTACTTCATGAGACTGACCTACAGCGTAGTCAGTATTTCGCGCGACTGTGTTTACATAACAAAGATAAATGAGACGCGCAATGACCCTGCGCCGAGCACGATTCTCCGATAGGTCGCGCATTTTTCCTCCGTATAAATATTGACTGCCGCGTTATCGCGAGAGAATAAAGCTCCGAGGGACGTGAAATAAAAAAAAAAGAACGCGCTCTCTCTTTACAACGCGACAAACATTATTCATCTATATTTTTATTGTAATGTTTAAATAATTAACATTATCGCAATTAGCAATACATGCGTCGAAATTAGCGCGGTTTCGATAGTATTTTTGTATATTTATCTTTGTAACATACTTTGTAATACACACACACACGCACCTGTTTTCTTATCAAAATCTTTATGCCACACGGGCATGAGCAAAACAAGATACAATAGTCCGTATTCTGAACTCACTTTTATCGATAAGTGTGACTCGAAGAGTGGCTTAGGAACCATCTGATTGGCTGAGAAACCATACTTAAGACACTTTTATTGATAAAAAAAAAATGAGTTCAGGATATGGGCCAATGAATACATGAATGTTCTTCACTTCCTCTTTTTAGCGCCTTATTTTATTCTTATTAATTTAAAATTTTTTTAATTAATTAAAAAAATAACAAATCTCATTTCTTTTTCTCTCCTTTGTGTGTATTTTTACGTCTATTCATATTCAATGCACATGGATATGTTTCACAATCAAAGCTATATACAAAAAATTCATAAAATTGATTGATAAATCTGAACACGATAATACATTATCACGTACATTTTATATATCATTGCAAAATATTTATATTATACGCAAGAGTATACTTATTGTCAGCTTTTTTATCTTCACTATCGCACGACAGCATATGAGCCAGACGCAATAAAACTAAACAGTGGAATTTGCCGGAAGCCAGATAAAAAAAAAAAACACACTGACAGATACCCATGTTATCATAATGAAACACTACCCGAGGTGGAGAGTGTGTTCTGGCACTTACTTCCAGCGCCTTATAATATCTTATCATCTCGTTTTCCCGCAATAAGATCCGGGAGGCTTTGTTTACCCGGTACTTGCCAGACAGGACATCGGCATGGATATTATACCACGATATCTCAAGAGCAAGTTGCGATCAACCGGGACGGAAAGCGAAGCTAGGGGCATAATACGGATGTAATGAATTTTTTCCTCACCGTTAGCGTTCGCGGGTTGCCTCTCGGGAGACGATATCCCGCGTTCCCGTATTCGGCGTCCGTGTTCAGCAATTTTTCAAACTGCGCAATAGCCACGGTATCCAGGGCAGAGCGATGGCGGCGACGGCGATAGTGGTGATGATGATGATGATGATGGTAGTAGTAGCGGTAGTGATGGTGGGGACGATAACGACGACGACGGCAACGCGGAGGAATAAGCACGGTGCGGCTCCCCGGGAACCTGTTAGCGCGATGCTACCTCGTTTCAAGCTCCTCTTCCCTCGCAGTCCTCCCAGTGCGCATCGCTCGCAAATTCGACCACATCCGGTGACCGTTGGCCACCACCGCGCCTCCTTCCTCTCCGCTCGTCTTCTCTCTTCTCCTTCGCCTCTTCCTCTCCGCCGACTTCCACTGCTTCCAACGCTTTTTCCTGGTTCTCGCGCGACCTACTCTCCCGAATGAGGAACACACGCTCCGCCCGCTGCCCGACACGGTGACAATGCTGCTGCTCCACGCCAACCGTTCCCACTTGCGCGAAGGCACGCAAAATGGCGAACGCGATATACGGTTTGTTTGTTTTCCCAGCGAGTATCGCTTCCACGCCCGACCGTGATCTCTCACACCGACCGACGATCCGTACGCGTGTTCGCGCACCTTCGCGGCCGTCAACGCTTCCCTCGAGGATCGGAGTCCCCTCTCGCCGAAGTCGTGCGCGTTTCGCGTGTGTACGTGACGACGCACGGACGTATTGCTCGTTCGCGCTATTGCTGCTTCCGTTCTCCGCTTGTGCTCCCTCCGATGTGCGCTGTGTCACGCCGTGTTCTCCAGTCGATCAATCTCGTTAATCGCTCCCTATCTCTCTCTCTCTCTCTCACTTAACTTCTCGCCGGACTCTACGCCGCACAAATGCATAACAGTCGTTACAGCGGATACTGCGCTCGTACTCCATCCTGTGTCCTCCAATGTTCCTCACTGACTCGCAGTGTTCTGTTTTGGCCTTTTTAAACTTCCTCTCCCCTCTCGCTGTCGCATCGAGACGAATATGCGCAGTAGCGCGTCACTTGCAGGATTCGTGGCTTCTGCATAAAGAACGCGGAAGCGTTCAGCTAGCCAATAAACTTTCAGTTCTCACGGAATAACGGCACGTTCATTGGCTACCGCAATCGCTTCTCACCGTGCGGCGAACATTTTCGCCTTAAGCCGGATTTACAATAGGTGAGCTTTACGCCGTAAGAAATTAACCAATCACAGTCGAATATGAAGAGAATAATTAACTTAATTAGCTTAAGGCTTAAAATATCTACTGTAGACCAATAATTAAGAAGTGCAAACTAAGAGTAGAGTTTTGGAATGCAACTCTAGAAGTTTTTACTCACTTTTTGGCTCTGGCAAACTAGCACAACGCGACGCGTGATATCCAATGAGCGTACAGCTCTTCCGGAATATCAGTACGCCCATTGGATATCAAGTTCACTATAGAGTTCGTTAAACTAAAAAGTTTAGTGAACTTCGCTCTGATTGGCCAAATTTTAATCCAATTTTAGGCCGATCATAGTCAAATCTTATATTTAAGACGGTCTTATGTATATCAACCAATCATCGATGTGAGCTATCGAATCCTGTCCTCGGCCATTTCGTGTTTTCGATCTGCTGACTCGGCCCGATTTCAGCAGCTTTTAGTAATCTTTGCAGTGCTGTAACCTCTGGTTCAAATAATATATACTATAGTTTGCAATACTGTAGCGATTAGTCTGAGTCGAGTCAGCAAACCAGAAACGCCATTTGTCTAAAAAGTCTTCACAGGGAGAGAGTGGCAAACTCGTTACGTGACTCTGTCTTCTGATTAGTCGTAAGTATCAAACTTCCTGCTGGGCATGTAATAATGTACACGAAACACGGAAATTTGAAAATGTATATATTCATATTTTTATTTCATTTATATAAAATGGAAGAGACAAGTATTTTCAAGTCTCAGGCCTGAAACACGATGGCCTATATTCAGAACACATTTACAACGATGTTTAGCGCTCTAACTAGTTGTAAAAAGATACGAATATTCTCAAGCTGCGTTCGCGAGTTGTGCATGAAACTACATTACTGATGCGCAGCGCTTCGAAATCTTGTCCCGTTTTGTCCATGCGCATGAAATGCTTCAGTTATTTAGAACGGTTGCCTGCGCGTTCTGCGCACTAATGCGAATTGAAAATGGACACCATGCGAAACGGTTAACAAACGAATTCCAGTAATTGTAATCTCTTCATTGATACTTTTAAATAAAAACGACGAAAGTGATGGTTCCGAATCGAGCGATAGTGAAGATAAAGTTGAAGACGCATCTTTAAAGCCAGCGGCACATGATGCTTCTTTTCGTGCTGAATTGCTTGCTGGATAGAAATACTGCGTTCTGATTGGCGCATTTCCAAAAATGAATGACAAAACACCAATCAAAACGCAGTATTTCCATCCAACAAGCAATCCAGCACGAAAACAAGCATCGTGTGCCGCTGTTTTTATACTATAAACGCGATAATAATAGTGCTCTATTAGGAAAAGTCGATAATTATGTGTTTTTATTGCAAAATACCGACTCAGAGCTACTGATAAGTTGACTTGTTAGCGCGCTAATATTGTTATAAGAGCGTTCAGAATACAGGCCAGTACTTGTTCAGCAGAAAAAGCAGTTTAGTAGCATTTTTGTGATTATTGCTTCTGATTGGTACATATTTCTAGATATATGAATCTAAAAAATACTTCAATCGTGTACAATAATCACAATGCGTTTATTAAACTGCTTTTCCTGCTAAACGCAGGAAATATGTCGGAGTCGGATATCAGCAACTGATAGTACAAAGAAAAAATTTATTTTTTGAAAATTTCTACAATACGTTCTACAATACGCCATATATCGTTGTCTGATGTCCAATGAGGAGAACTCGTTTTCGAAAGATAAATTATCTCATTGGACCATTGGCTGTGTGTTTCGATATCTAATTGATTGGTCAATTTCCTACTGTAATTGTAATTATACTAACTATAGAACAATCCAATATCCAATAAAAGACTTTTTACGGTTCCTAGTTAGAAATATTTTTACCCCCAGAAAAGGTATTTTCTTATTGGATATCGAAAATCATACGTCGATATCGAGCAATGCGAATCCAGCATAACATTTGACCATGAATATCGCCCTACAACCGCCTTTTATTTTATGTCCAAATATCTATCTATTTCATTTCAAATGCAGAAAGTGCTAGTGAGTGCAGTGTTAAAACAAACATCCAAAACTAGATATATTCTAAGAACGTTGTGAACTCAATTCAAAGTGTCGGCACTCTTCCTTTAACTACTAATCGTAGTTAACCTTCATGGCTTCTAACAAATAATTTCTTATCGATGATCTGAACGGGCGAAACTTTTACATCTTTTATGTAGTTGGTAAGTATAAAATATTATTTTTGTATTAATATAGTGATATTCCATTATTATTTACAACATTAAGATACCTATCTAATTGACGTGTGAATGTTTTTTTTTAAATATGATTAAAAGTTTATACATAAAAATTCCCCAACATAATCAACAGTGTAGATTTCTTATCTGATTGGTCATTTATCGATGATACTGCATAGATTCGAATAGAACGGTTTATCAAGTTTATGGGGTATTGTGAGTAAACAAAGAAACGTGGCAGGTTTCTGTGTGCTTTATTTTTCTTGTGGTCGAAAAAGATAATCAATGGAAATTTCGTCCACATTCATATAATCCATATAAACAAATATAAATTGCTTTTCTTTAAATGATTATTTCTTTTTTTATGTTTCTAGTAAACTTTCCTTTATGAGCATTTTTTCTTTTGCGCGTTTTTTTAGATGAGTTTACATTTGTTTAATTCCTGACATATTTATTTCATCATTTCTTGATCTTATGAAAAACAGGCAGGGGAGCAGGATGATGTATGAAAAAATCCTTGAAGATGCGCAAGAAATNATAAACTTTCCTTTATGAGCAGTTTTTCTTTTGCGCGTTTTTTTAGATGAGTTTATATTTGTTTAATTCCTGACATATTTATTTCATCATTTCTTGATCTTATGAAAAACAGGCAGGGGAGCAGGATGATGTATGAAAAAATCCTTGAAGATGCGCAAGAAATAAAAAGACGGTTGTCGGCATTAGGAGAAAATGTTAATGAAGATGCAATATGTGAACTGCTGCAGAGTTGTGGTCCTAATTACGAACTGGAGCATATCATTAACATGATTACAGAAAATTGGAATCCCGACCGTCAAAATGATTTGGATGAAACTGGAACTTCCATCACAGATATATCATCTATTATAGACAAATCTGAGATACATGGTAATGACAAAATTTCTAATCTTGAAGATTTCATACAAGAATATGCTGAAACATCAGATGCTTCATCAGATTATGATGACAGAGATGATTATTATACTGCCACTAATTGGGACGATATTTCAGTAGTAGATACTGTAACACGATCCATATCATCTCCTTTAGAACCATGTGATACATCATCATCAAATCATAATAGTGAAGCCATAGCTGTTCCTCCTGAAGTAGAATTTTTAGAGGAAAATAATAATGATCCTAATAATAACTTAGATTCTGTCCAGATACTTCAAGAATTACAAAATAATTCTCCAGACGTTTATGACAGGAGAGATTCAAGTATAGAATCCTGTGTAGGATTCACCGGAAAACCTGAGAGTCCAAAGCCAGGTTGCAGTAAAGATTCCCATGATACGTTCATACCTCATAAATATTCTAAACTACATTCTGAAGCAGAACAAATAAACGTTCTTTTACCTCGGTTTAAACATGATGTAATTTATGAGACATTGCGTTACAATTGTAACGCGAAAAATCGTATTGAACTTACATTATGGGATTTGTTGCCGGACAGGAGACCAAAACCTCAAATCCCATCCAAACGAAAACTTGTGGATGACGTGTATCATACAGATCATAAGAAAAATCTCGCAGAGATACCTGAAGATGATGTAGAAATTACATTTATTCAATCAATGGAAAAACCACATTCTACATGTAAGAAACATTCACATACAAAGAAACATGTGACAGATGTAATATTAGTTGAGAATGATACAATTAGCGATGCCAGTCAACAAAGTGTAGTTCCTTTTACAAAAGCAAAATTAAATAAAATTGATAAATCTGATAACAATATTGATACGTGTAGTGTATCTGATAAAAATAAACTTTATGAATCAACTACTATTATGGAGGAGCCATTATCACCTGCATGTAAAAAAGATCCACATACAAAGAAACATCAAACAGATATATTAGTTGAGAATGGCATGATTACTGATGCCAGTCAACAAGGTGTAGTTCCTACTACAAAAGTAAAATTAAGTAAAACAGATAAATCTGGTGATAATATTGATACATGTAGTGTATCTGATAAAGAGGAACTTGATGAATCTACCATCAAGGAGAAACTTTTACCAAAGGTTGATATAAAAAATGAAGAATTACAATGTATGGTTACAGAGGATTTGCAAGTAATATTACAAAAGGAAAGAGCAGGTGAGACAATACAGCATAACTATTTCACGGCCGTTCCTCTATTACGACCATCAAAATTAACATATATTTCGAATCATAAGTATATTCCATTAAGACCATCACTGGTACCAACTCCTATCTTATCACCACCAAAATTCAAAATCCCAAAAGATCGAAAACCAATATCTACGCGACTTATGATGGTACCAATTCAAAACCCTGGGAAATCAGCTGTGTTAAAACAAAACACTGAAGAAGATGTGTCCTTGGACACACCAGCGAATAGAAGAAATAATCAAACATCGGACGTGAATATAGCTCAGTCACGTTCATTTGTTGATCTCACACAGGAAAATATAACCAATTCGCAAGACAAAACAGTGTTAAATGTAAAGACGGAAAATACTAAGTTATCGAAGAATAATCCATCGCACAGTTTACAACCGAACAGTACAAAAAATATACCCATTTTAAATACTATTAAAGACGTTAATAGTAGTAAAAGTGAAGTTAAAGATTTGGAGCCAGAAAGAAGGGATAACAATACACCTCAGGTTTATTTCTCATCTTTCTAGTAGAAGGGATGAGGAAAACAGAGATATAAACAAAGTTAATTTTTGATTTCAGGTCATGCCTTCAACCAGTAAAGAAGTAAATACAAGTGCAACTAAACAATTAGAAATGCTAGGGTCTTTGCAACAATCTGATGGCAAACAAAGTCAAACATTGTTAAATAAGACTACGGAGTGGATTGTACCTTCTAATTCTGCTAACGATCTTGTGACGATACATTATATTAGTACAAATACGCTACCTCGACAGGCATCGACATCTGACTTTGTAGTTGAGAATGTACAGCAAGGTAAGTTCATTATATCGCAAATATGTTGCTAATATATGTGATATAATAAATATTAATATTTTATGTACAGAAGCAGGATGCACAATAAGGAAAGAACAAAAAAATAGCGAGAATAATACCAGTGATAAAAAAGTAACATTGAGCCAAGGAGCTCTTAAAATATATTTCAAACTAATACCAATGTTCCCATGTGTAGATACTAAATTCATTAGACAATTATGCCATGAATATGTTAAAGATGAAGATCTACTAACAGATGAAACAGTTATATTGCAAGCTTTAATTGATTACTTGCTTAATCACAGTCAAGAGCATCCGAATCTTAAAAAGCCTGAACCTTTACCAGAACCGGATAATTTGGATGTAAATGAGCAGTATGTCAATTTATTGGAAATATTTCCAAAAGCAGATCCTACATACTTAAGAGGTGTAGCTGAACAAATGTATGATAAGCCTGATATGATAAAACAATTTGTTCAATCGAAACTCGAAAATCCAGATTATCCAACCAGAGAGCAATATCTGGCTAAAAAGAAAATTACAGAACAACAGAAGCAATATACTACAGGCTTTCAAGTGACACAATTCTTAGAGATATTTCCAGATCCATTTTCATACTTCGAGGATGATAAGAGAGAATGTCGATTTGACATACATGCAGTAGACTTTCTGAAACATCACTTTAATAAAATTAGGGTAATTGATATGATATACATGATATTGCATTATATACACATTATATATACATTTTACACACACACACACACACACACACACACATATATTAAATATGGTATTTTTGCAGGTAAATACTTTGTTAAATATATATGCTCAGTATAAACATAATTTAACTTTAACTGCTAAAACCTTGGAAACTCTAAATCCCGATATGAAGACTAAACGAATCTATCCGTTGGTGCAATCAGAAAATATACCAGTTCTTCAAGAATGTGCTTTTATACAACATAAAGCAGAACTACGGGCATATTTGAACGAACTGAAAGAAGACGAAGAGAAAGAATTTAACGAACTTAAGGTACTGCACAAAGTAGAAAGAAAACATCCATAGACAAACACTTAGAAATAGAAATTTTTTAATAAGATAATCAAGTAATCAAGATAATCAAGATAATCAAGTAGCGACTGGAATATTAATCGATTTTATATGAACAAGAAATGTTATTGTCATTATTATTATTATTCTTTTAGGCGAAAAATGAACTTCTTGAATGCCAATGTTGTTATGACAATGAATGTATGCCATCCAAATGTTCCACGTGCGAGGATGGCCATATTTTTTGTAATTCGTGCATTGCAAAGTGTACAGATGTGAAATTAGCAGAGGGCGAGACGCATATCCATTGCTTGATAGATTGCGGCAGTGAATTTCACCTTTCCGTGCTTCAATATGTGCTGCCTCCAACTAAATTCAGCATTCTTCTTCAGAAACGACAAGAAGCTGAGGTAATGGCTGCTGGATTGGAAGGTTTAGTGTCATGTCCATTTTGTCACTTTGCATCTATACCTCCACAAGAGGATAAAATATTCAAATGTTTTAATCCCGACTGCATGAAGGAGTCGTGTCGGTCAGTATGATTATTTTATTAAACACATTAAACATTTTCTTAGAATCATTAAAAGATTAACAAAAATGCAAGTTAGAAAACAGACTATATGAGTCTCTACAATTATATGCTAATAGATTGTTTTGTTGTTAGATTGTGTAAAGAAATTAATCACTTACCTCTTAAATGTAATGAAACTAAGTCCGATGCCGCGCGTTTGTACTTGGAAGAAAAAATGTCTGAAGCCCTGATACGGAAGTGTTATCGTTGTGCACGAACATTTTTTAAAGAGGAAGGGTGTAATAAAATGACTTGTCTGTGTGGTGCTCAAATGTGTTACATTTGTGATAAGCCAATATCCAATTATGGGCATTTCAAAGGTCAAGGATCAATGGCATCTAACCTGTAAGTATTAATATATTTGATGTTTATACAATTGAACACTTTTTCGCTTTGTTCTTACATTCATTTTATAATTTTTAATATAGTTGTCCACTGTGGAGCGACGATCGTCGTATGAATGCTGAAGCTGTAATTCATGTCTGTAAGGAAACCATGAAGCAGATCAAGGAAAAGAATCCTGAAGTCGAAATAAATGCCGATGCTCTTTTACCAAAGTTACCGCCTAAAATTAGAGGCCCGCATGATGATATCGCTCATGCAAATGTATTGCCGGTATGCATATAGTATATATATATTTCAATAAATATACCCCTTGTTAATTTAAGTATAAATTTATGCATGTTTTATACACACATTTATATATTGACGTATTTATACATGTACAAAATATTGACCGGAATATTTCAATATCCTTTAATTCATATTTTAAAGGAATATTCTGTTTTAATTATATATAGATATTTGAAAACTAATAATTTATTTTCCAGGCACATGCAAATAGGGTTGCAAGACACATTCCATGACAACTTTACGATAATATTAACTGTTTCTCCCTATGTTTTGTTTTAATATATCTATTATTATATCTATTATATCTAGATTAATTTTAGATTATATTCGCACATAGAACATTTCTTGTAACATACAATTTACCTCATATGCCTGTTTTATATCTTATAAATTCAAATAGTCTATTTCATATCATACAGTTTTATTACGAGTAGTGTTTAAGACAGCATTTTGTAGGCCAAAGGCTTTTGCTAGTCTTACGCAATTATGTGCAACATGAAAATGAAAATACTGGTAAAGTAACAGAACCAGAACTTGTGATTTGTGAAATTTTCAAATGTGTATTTATTTTCCACACGAAGTATTAATGATAGGTAATAAGAAAAATGTTATTTCAATGTTCACGATTTAGCTCTCTATTGCTGAAATTATTTGTTGCAATTTCAGAAACTTCTCATACATGAAGTAGTAGAAGATATTTATATAGTCTTCATTAGAGTTTTTCATCTTTTGAAATAATATTACATTGAAAAAAAATTGCATGAAATATTTCATTTAATGTACTTCCATCAGAAAATATTTCTTTGTTTTGTGTAAAATTATCTTAAAAATGATGGACTTGTAACTACTTCTTTTATTTTCGCACAAATATATGTTAAGTAAATTGTACAATAATATATTTTTATAAAGGTATAACGTAAAATGAGTTCTTAATGTTTCTTAAAGTTAGAATAATCAACAAAAGAGAATTATTAGCAAAATAAAAAAGTCAGCATATGATCAGTATGTGATCAGCATGTGATTTGGTTATTACATTTAGCAATAGAGGGTTAACATTTATTCTGTTATATTAAAAATTATATAAACTATTTTTTTACAAGTTAATATCTCTGATAAAATACACGTTCCTATTTTAGACAAAAACAGTTTGTATTTTATAATAACTTTATACCAACTATTTTAACTTCGTTGGATAATGTTTAATTAAATATTAATATAAAAATTACCTAATGTATATGTTACAAGCAACTCTTAATTATGCGGTGAGGTTAGTTGCTTTTAGCTCTTACCACTTTCTAAACTTTCGTTTTTCTTCCTCTGTCCTTGAGTTTATGTGCAGAAAGCGTAAAAACGCAAAAAGCAAATCAGAACTCCTACTCTGATTTCGATAATACAATATTCGTGATATTTATAATATGTAGATTTGTACATTGAAGTGTTTTACACGGATAAAATATTTCAAATGCCTAATGTATTTTAGTGTATAAGTTTCAATTAACAAAAATGTGTCCAAGTATTTTTATAAAAGTCCTAAACGTAAATTGCACAAAATAGAAAGTGCTAACGTTTTATATGGCGAAATAATTATATTTTTATGTAAAATCGTGCGTAGCTGTAATTTGAAGAATAATAAAGAAGTGATAGTTGCATTCAACACATTTTAAAGACAATACGGACAGAAACAACATGTATTATAATACAAATTTTTTCAAGTATTTCAAACAGAGAACTTGTACAACGCCATTATCCGTATACGGTAAGTCGGAGATGTAAAAAACAAGTGCATTAAATCTGTTCTTTTTAGTACTTTCTGTACATTTATAGAACTTAAAAAGAGACAGATATACATTAAGATGTAGTGGAGGAAAAAGGAAAAGAGAATTAGTACAGCCAGTTCACCAATGGAAGCGAACAGACTTATTTTTAATTCGTATATACCAGCAACCAAGGTAACGTAAACATTACATTTACGTATATGTTACCTATATCCGCTACATAAGCGAACGTATTTAAAGGTACAGGAAGAGATGATAAAAACATAATTTGGTTCACTGAGAAAAATATACGTCCTTCATTTCATATATGTACTTTAAACGTATGTAATACGATTAGAAACGTTACATACTTCTAAAGAACATATATGAAACTAAGATGCTATTTGGAATGTTTCGGTATATTGTCTGTATCGTGACTAGCACAAGTACGTTAAAATATGTCCTCATATAACAAGTATTTTGCTAGTATATAAAAAAAAATCATCTGATGCCGGAAGAAAATTCTAACAATATAGCGGCGATATTCTAATGTCATAAATATTTCTACCTTAAATATTATGTATATATAATTATAAATATTTATTTTTCCCTGAAAGATAATGCAATTAATTTGGAATTATTGTAGTGATAAGAAGTTAATACTTTGAACTTGATTAAAATTATAGCATAATAAGTGAATATTTCTTGGAATAAACATATTTTAAACATGTGCTGTTGCAATGCCATCGCAAAGCATACATCAAATGTTTGCATATTATGTTCGATATTTTTGTCTACTGTGTGATAACATCTAATTAAAAGTATCCAAATACCCTTAAGTTTGGCTGAATACCTGTTACATTTGGAAGTATATATAGCGAGAGTACACACACACGTACATGTATATACATTGATAAATGGCAATGAATAATACAATCTTATCTCGTTCCATCATCGAACGTTGTTCCATCATCTGAAGTACAGAAACATTTGAATCAAAACAGTTTGAGCACCGAATCGATTATCAGCTATTATCAATCCCAATGGAAATATTTTGCTGAAATACTCTCTGAATTGACCTCATTTCATTAATACACGCAGTTTCCAGTTTAATTCGGTAAATCCCACGATATTTAATATTTCAAACATTTTCTTCCCTACTTTTCAGAATTACATTTGAAATCTCATTATATTTCACATCACATTGAATCTCATGATGCAAATTTGATTTATTTCAAAATATTTATTATATATTTTAGTAATTTATCAGAGAAAGTAACTTTCATCCCACTGTTCATCAAGTTGATAGTATACCAATGTATTCAAATATAAGTTAAAGTATGAAATTTACTGAATTCAACTAAAAACCGCGTATATCGACGGAATGATAATGAAATGGGGTCAGTTGAGAGGGGATTTCAGTGAAATTCTCAGCATAATATTTCTATCGGGAGATCTTCCGCGATACGTCGTTCAACTGCAGGCCAAGCGGATTCGAATACAAGATTCTCAAGCCGGATATTGGCGTGACTTAAATTCAGAATCGAAATTGTCACGACCGCCCAAACTGAAGTTAGCTGCGCTAGTGTATCGAGAAATGGCCGGACGACGAGCAGCTGCGTGCGAGCCGCTCGGAAAGATCGAGTGCGTTAAGTGCTTACGTTATAACGAGAACATCTTTCGTTAGTAATACAAGGGAATACAAAGGGGAATGCAATTAAAACACGGTTGGACGGTAATCAGCGTGGAAAGAACCGGCTGGTAGGCAGAGTGAGAGACGATGTGCGGCTCGCCGCGGCTCTGCGCGTTAACGTGAAGAGCGCTGCGAAAGCGCGTCGACAGTCATCGGCGAGCTTTCGGCCCTGACAGTCGCGCATTGTGCCCGGAGCGACGGAACCGCAACTTGGAGCCCGCTCACCCACACAACGGACTAACGTACATCGCATTAGGTGAATACGTAATACGAATGTCTATTTTCTGCCTGCTGCGAGTCGCGTACCTATCGATCGTCTTCGCGCATAAAGCAACCGGCCGACCTGCAAAACCGTTCAGTTCGTTGCACCCTAGGATATGGCTACGTTCAAGAACTCTATTCGACGGGTAGATTAGCATTTAATTAAACGATCAGACGACGAAGAGATCTTTGATCTTCTTCTACCGAACGATTGATCGATTAAATGCCAGTCTGATTGGGTCTTCCGAGAGTCTCGGAAAACGCAGCTTGGAAAGCCATTACGTCGTCGATCGATGCATCCCTTTCGTTACCCCGCGAAACATAAAGAAATGTTTGAAGGGGTGCTCATTTTTGCGCGTCGTCGCTCGCTTCCAGCGCGTTTCCGTTAACATTTCAATCGGCTCGCACGTTACGCTCGCGCGCGACGATGCATTCACTTGATATCTTACATTCAGATTATTTGCATGCCGGAAATGAATCGACCGTAATGGAGATTTTTCGTGTCACCTCGCTCATAATTCGATCTAGGAAACAGGCGCGTCATAGTCACGTTCGTAGTGCCGTTTCGACAAAAGGAGAGAGGGAAAATGGAACGTTTTTAACACGAAGAATATCTCACGCTTTGGGTTTCGTTGCCGCGCTGGCTTACCGTTAGGATGGCTGAGCGTAATTTTATGCTTCGCGATGTATGACGGCAATAGTCGGGGTTTTTATTTTTTTGTAATATTATTGACCCCGTCATTACGTTTGTAAACATTCCCTATTCACATTGCTGTACGAGGAAAATTTTGCCCAGCTAGAACGGCAAATTGTTTGTTAATATAGTGACAGGAAAAAAAAATTTGTTTGGAAAAAGCAAAGAAATTTATTTTGACAGCAGAAAAATGTGTTAAGAGCATTAATTGCAATTTGCTGGATTTATGGATAACGAAGTAATTTGTTTATGTCAAATAAATTTTATCATTGTTGCAATGACGTTTTTCTACAACAGTAAATTTATGTTTTCTATGTATTCTTTGCTTGACGTAAATTGATAAACAACTTGCTGCATCAGCAAAACTTATTTTTTCTACGGGAGAGATTAAATAGAGAAGCTTCTATTTTTTTTAATATTACATAAATATCTTCTGCAATATCTACTTTAATATTTAACACAAACATGGTTACATTTCAGCTACTTATTTTCGCATTTGATTCTCAAGCTGTAAAACTGTCTAATGGCGTTATTAGTACAACGAACAAAAAACGAGGTTTGCCGATTATTCGAAACATAACTATGCAGTTGTAATTAACAAGATTATCTTGTATTATAATTGTATCCTTGATGCATGCGAATGCTGACCAAACGATTAAGTCGTTTCAATTGCCTCGATGTGCTAATATATAAGGGTGTCTGACGCAAACCATGCCATTCGTCATATACTCGTAGTTTAGGTCAATATGAATAAAAAAGTTCTCTACTACTTCGCGCATAACCAGCAAAAAATGATGCATTATTAATGATTGAAAACGGCTACAACGTCTAAGTTCGGGTCGTAAGATATCTTAAAGAAAGGCTTCTTAAAGACATTTATGATATCTTAAAGACGTTTTATGATACGATTTTAGACGTGCTGTCTAGGGGAGGCTTTTTTAATTAATAACTAAAAAATTTGCATGGTTATTTGCAAAACGATAGAGGCTTCTTTTATTCAGAGTGGCCTGATCTACAAGTAGGTGACAGTTGTTGTGCACTGGTAAAAGAAAACTTAAACATTTATTTGTGAAATATAAAGATTATTTCGCTCAAAGTAAACGTTTCTTTAAATACGGCGAAATACAATTTTATTCCCATCAAACAAATCAGTTAATAAGAAGACTTACGTATATTTTACAAAAATATATATTCCATCATCAGTCAAATTTTTCTCAAAAATTTTTTTCTAATGAATAAATATCGAAGAATCGAAGAAGTCAACAAAAACATTCACTTCGTAAAAGTTCAATTTTTTTCTCAGTGTACCTAGCAATAGATATTAATATATTGAACCTTGAACCTCGTTAGGTGCAACAGCTGTTATATAGATCAGGCCATTTTGAACATAAAAAGTTCTTTAATATTTTGCAAATAACTATGCAAATTTTTGAGTTATTAGTTAAAGAAGCTTCTATATATGGCCATTTTTGATAATTAATGATTCGAAATTTTGCGCAATTGTTTGCAAAATGTTAAAGAACTTTTCCGTTCATATTAACCTAAGCTATAAATACGTGGCGGTTGGCATGGCTTATATCAGACATCTTATGTACTTGACGTCGCGTTGCGTGTATATTCATTTTGCAAATTACTTTCGCTCGTCAACAAATGTATTTACATACTATTTACTATTTTTACCTCGGGCTAACCTAAAATAAAACAACTTTGACGATCTCTTCCTCGTGCGTTATGGTGCTCATTTTTATTAAAAGAAAAACGGGACAAACATACGTGGGGATATTGTTCGGCAATCCCGTATTTACAAGAAGATCTCGAATGCCCCACGATTTGCCGGTTTTTCTGCCCCCTTGCGAAATAAAACTGTAAAAATGGTACTATTAACCATGTAGATAAACAATATGTTAATTTAAATCTTGCAGGCAAGAATGAGCGCATGAGGCAGCACAAATATCTTTGATTTACTTAATTGACCGTGTAGCACAAGTTTTATTTATCTATAAACAATCATTGAGATTATTTAATTATTCGTCATTTTGCGTTTGTATGTAATAGCCAGTTAGAGATTAATTAGTTTATTGTGATTAATCAAATTCTATGTCTACCATGCTTTTTTTATTTCTGGTTCTGGTTTATCAACGTATATATTGTTGGATTCTTCAATTCGTATCGCAATGATATGGCGTTGCTATGACTCAGACCGACAAACTTCTCATCCAAAGAAAGAGCGTACACGCTTTACGTTTCATTTTGTTAGTGTTTTGTGAAAGTAGGACGGTTTCCGTGCCCAGGAGCGCGCGCGCGCGCTTATTTACACCTACGTCTGTCTTTCTTTCTCTACACAACTCTCTTTCCTTCGAATTGATATAATATTTTTTTCAATTATGTGTCGGCCTACCCTCGAGTTTTTATATAACGTTTTACAAAATAAATGCTATAAGATTCGCGATTCTCTTTATTTCTACTATAAATTTTATTTTGCAACAACTGCGACGTTCCTCCTTGTTCTTTTTCAGTTCAACGCTTTTGTTTTGTTTGCAATACAAAAGATTTAATTAGATAAGTAAAAAAGGAAAAGAGGTGAGAAATTTCGTGAAAGTTCATGCATCACGTCGATTTGTATCCGCCTTTGATAATTCAGTGGTATTTTATTAAATAGCATTTTAAAGATTTCTAATTTTAGCAACTTCCCCGTCCCTAATTGCCAATGTAATGTGACAACGGCGTAAATGGAGCGTTTGTATTGTCTGTTTATTTAAAAGTTAACTTTCACAGTTATCGCAAGATGATAAAAACGTAAAATTCGCGATTCCATCCGTTAACCAATTTTTTGCTGTGACTTATGCTTGCTTCATAATTATTGTATATACATTTGGTGCATAATTGTTGTATGTACTTTCCGTGGTTTCTCAGAAATTTTTCTGTTGTTAAATCAGTCGGTATATAATTTTGTTATATAATAGTTAACTGGAGTACTTAATGAGTCAGTTATGATGTAAAGGGAGAAATATTCTGACGCATATTTAAAATACTTTCTAAATTACTTTTAATCGGTCAGTTTTGCAATCCCCTAGCGAGAAACGTACGTATCGAATCGAATCAAATTAACGTCAAGTCGACGTCAAAACAATAGAAATGATATCGAACGACGTTAATTCGACGTCAATTCGATGAATCATTTCGTGCTGAGTCTTTCGTGGCTTCTTAGTTATTAGTCAGACACATGTGTAATTTTAAAATTAAATTCATAATAAAGCTAGGAATTGCTCAGTACTTAAAAAGAATTTAATAAATTCCTCATTTACATATTTATTATTGCGCACGAATTCAATCAAATCTGAATACTCAATATATTGACGTTTATAACACGCTTGAAAAATTATGGTTTCTTTAAAACATTCATACGTTATCGCGTAATTTAATTTTCATCCGCTAATTCTTAATCTTTGATAAACTAATTTATCGATTCACACACAAAACCAATTTTCATTTGACAAAACATTGGATTTAAACGCAATATTAAGATCTATTACGGTTTCTTATTTTCAACAGAATCTGTGAATAAAGCCAAAAATTAAAGAAGGAAGAAGTAAGAGTAATTCGCAATCAATAAAAGTCTACATATCAAATTTTGAATCGATTAAACGGATCGAACGAGTCTCGTCCAATTCGAGAAATTGTGCATTTCTCTTAATTAATTTGATTAATCAGTACTTCGGAAAATTACATAAGTCGTAGGAAAAGTTAGAAATAATAAACTGTGAAATTACGTAAGAAAGATTGAAAAATATATATTTCTTACATAAATCTGTATCAATTTGTTGAATATTAAAATAATATCTATAAATAGGGCGAAAGCGAAAAAAGAATAATAATGCGTGCCAATAAAATTGATGTTAATACTATATTAGTTTAATTAAGTTTATCCATATTTTGTTTTCTCGATCTTTACACTAAACCGAAGAAAAACTGGAAGAAAAATTTACTCTGATTTAATTTAGATTATGTTAAACCTATTCTCTAAATCTTTTTCTCTAATATTTTTTTATATATAAAATATCGTATAATTTTTCTTAACGAAACGGAATTATAAGGATGATTAAATTGCTTACGTGTATTCAATACATACATTGAATATGAAACTTAAAAAATTATTAAAGACTGATATGCCAATCTACGTACAAAATGCAAGTTTCACTAAATAATTAATTTAAATGTAAATAAAAGAAACTAAATATAGAAAAAATATAGATACGAGCACGACATCACGTTAGATTTTGTGCTGATGCAGTTACTAACTGATTTTTGTCATTCAGAATGCTAAGATGAGAGCAAAAGGCAGCTTACGAAATATGATTATCCGTCGACCCGAGTTTTTTTTGGAAGTTGGCTCTAAGTACTGGAGTCACGTGGTAAGGCGTGTAGAGAGCGTGGTGCATAATCGCGTTTGAAAGTCCAAGCTTACGTTTACGAAGTCATAAAACTCACTGATACAACTATCGGGGAATTCAATTTCCTGCTGTTCGCAACATTCAAACGAACAAAACAAACTGAAACATTCAAAGTTCCGCTCGGGACGTTTCAATACTTTTGTTCTCTGCAAATATTTTGGCGCGATTCTCTGATGACGATACATGAGTGAATAAATGATTTTATTATATATTATCGCTGACGGCTGTTATACACATTCGTCTATAGATAATGTGAAATGTTTGAGAAGATATTTGGACTTGTCCGTATATTTTTCCACAATAATAACAGAAAGCACAATATGATATTTGTTCTTATGCACTTTGAAATGTTTGAAACATGATAATTGCGCAGAAATCGTCGAATCATGCAGACCGAGTGAGAGAACGTAGATTTTGCATAAACTCGGCTTCATGCAAATTTAACTTTACGTATAAAACACGCTCATGAGAAGTTACGATGTCATACAAATATTTTAGATCTTATGTATTTTGGGCAGTTTTCTCCATTATAATAATGTATATGTATACTTACACGGTATATATACATATATAATTTGTGCGCCATTTCCGGTTTTAAAGGAATATACACAAAGAAATCTGTTAAAATACCAGTTTCAAATTTATTGTACTATTATTTGTCCTATTAACTTTTTTTCTTCTGTTTTTATTATACTCACGGGCACTATTATTCGAGTAGCCATAATCGGAATTTGCATAAAACTCTCGTTATCTGGTATTATCGTTGATGCATATTCGGCGAAAACATGTTACGAGTTCCAAAAATCTCGCCGGTTTAGGCTAATGATCTGCATCAGCTTTCAGCTAGTCTAAGTTGATTCCCGAAATTAGCATCTTCCAGTTAAAACGGTATTAACCTTCTCTTTGTGGAACAGTACAAGTCTGAAGTCTAAGTCGTATTATATCTCATTCTCCAACTCGAACGTGCAACTTAAATCAAGGCGGATTTCAAATAACGCTGACATAATAGTTTAACATCCAATTAAATGATATATGACATATATCCTATCGTGTCATATTTTATAATATTAATGTCGTTAATGCAAAACGTTTTTTATTAAGATTATCATACTGAACGTCTATTTTTTGCTGAAGTCAAAATGCACGTGTTACGATTATGATAATGTAGAATTTATATACTTATTCCTGATCGATGTTTTTTACCGATCATTCGCTGCATAAACGTAGCACGGAACGGCCTCTTCGTTATATTAATCGTTACGTATTTTCATCCAGTCACAATTGCAACCACCAAAATCTCCGACTTTGCAAATATATTTCCGACGTTCCCCACAGATTTAAGGAGTATTATCCCGTGAGACAAGACACTCTTACGTACGCTATTTTTGCTCTAATAAAGCAATTAATATGGAAGTTCTACTCGTCGGCCGGTGTTTACATTTAACATGCTAATAAACATGCTCCTTTTACGTACATTGGTAATTGCGAATATCAGTTTGATAAATTGCCAATAACCTTTGCGCTTTCTTGAAAGAGTTTCGCAATACCTCAAGTACAATACCGGGAAAAAAGTAAGCTGCGTATTATTTTTTTTTCTCTCCTCTCCGCAGATTTATTTTTCATGCTCAAGGCATGCAATTTCGAGTATATGTATGTCGCACGCGTTGAATGACAATCGGAGATAAATTATCGTAGGAAGGATTAGTACTTGTGATTTTCCTCTATTCCGTGTATATAAAACGTTCAAGATCAATTTAATTGTTTTTAATGAAAAGTCCATCCACTCATAAAGTTCACATTTGTTTTATGCACAAGAATTATGAAATATTGCTATCACAGGATGTTTAAGATGCAAATGTCACATCGAACGTACAATAATTTTTTTTCATATATTTTTCCTACTAATAATGATTTCCAGTCTTATAAATGTTATAACGCATATATCCTATCGTGTCATATTAAGTAGAACTTATTAAGTAGAACTATTGTTCTCGATAACGTGGAAAGCTCACGCGATCCGCGCAATATGGACCGAAAGTCGTAAAAAATCAGTGCAGCAGGGAACATATTAGAAAACATTCCTTCTCGCTTCTGCAGTTACTAATTTGATTGTTTCGTTTTGGGAGAAAACGAGAGGAATCGACGAATCGTTATATATTTTATCTTTTTGCGAATACAAGGCAAACTGGGCAACTTGAGCGCATCCGATTGTACCAGTTTCTGCAGATTGGAGAACGATACACAACGGGCAATTCTATTTTCATAGCTGTTCTAGAGCCGATAACTTCTTTTGTTTGGTTTTGGTCCGGGCAAATAGAAAGATTCGAAAATCTCTCTTCGGTTGTTCACCAACTGTCAGACATAATTACGGTCGTTTTATGTAAAACAATGAAAACAAATGTGATATTTTCTTCCTTTCGGGTATACATGACATTATTGTGAAATTTTTCGCGTTCGCATCTACTGGACATAGTCCGTTTAACTAGGCTGACTAGACATATCGGTGTTTTACACGATATACGAGCTTCATCTTTCAACTTTGTATTTAACCGGTTCTGCCTGCAATTTACTATCCGTTTACTAATACGAAAGCAAATAATGCCTTAAATCTTTACATTACACCGTCAACATAAGAGAAAAATATATCTTACAATATTGATTGTGTGTCGCAATACAAGGTTATATATATACGGATATAATATACCCACGAAAGCATATTGCGCACGAGAGCAATATTTTTCTTTTTTACATAAAATTAGAGAAGATGAGGCGTAAAAGCATCTGGAGAAGATGAGATGTAAAAGCATCTTCTCTTAATTACAGTTGATATGTATCATAATTAACAAATATCATGTATTATTAAATAATATTAAATAATAATCATTTTCAATATATACTTTGTTGGTTTTCAGGCTTACGCAGCGTTAAATTATGCAAGAGTGACGATCATCGTAACAACGAACATTTGCGCAGGATTGAAGTGTAGTGTAATGGATATGTACTCAGACGTACTTATGCCAAATGACATTTAAAGTGACGATTTTTGCATAAACTCGATTACCAACAAATTAACGTTCCGCATCTGTGTCGCATTTTTCATTCGTAATGACCACTCCGACACACTGTTCCCCTTCGCGATCGTCTCTAAGCTGCTGCCAGTTCGATCGTAGCAGTCAAGATGACGTACGAGACTCGGCGATTATGGACAGCAACAATTACTTCCTACAGGAGAAGCACTCTTTCCCGAAAAGACCGGAGATCGACTTGTCCTTCCGCGATATACGTTATCGCATTAAGGAATGGGACTTCTACAAGTTCAGAATCAGTGAGTACCGCTGAACAACAATCATCTATTTCCTAGTCTTAATATTTTATAACACAGACGTTAGCAAGATATAACCAGCTGCTTCTGCGCAGATTCGCGCCTTCTCCACGATCGTTGGAAAAGTCGTATCTCGTGGGTGTAATTTGCAGTTTCATATGTTTGAAAAAATTCATGCTCAAAGAATTTCTCCGAAAAATAATCTATGTTCATATATATTTTGGAACATTATATTACACATAATATATATTGTCGTGTTACATCAAGCAACAGGAGATTTGTCTCGAGGTTTGAAAAAATATATTACTTTCTCGTAAGTCATTTCTTATGTACTTTTGGCTGCTAAACACAAATCTGGACGCAGAATGTCTCTATCCGTATGGAAAAAACTACAAGAGTACGAGAAAATTTTTAATAAAAGATTATATTTCCTGATAGAAGTACAAATTTTGCAGCAAAATGTACTTTTTGCATTAAATGTAAGTTTTATTTTAAAGAAGATGTGCAAAATTATTGTTCTTCAATAATATACCAGTAATTTTTTCGAGTACAAAATAAAATAATATTATTGACTTATTTAAATAGAACAATTCTTATCATTTATATTCGTATCAAAGTTAGTGTATTTTTGTAGTTTTTCCCGTGAGGATATCATGTCAGGCTTTTGAAAAATCTGCTATTAAAGTTGCTAAGAATTGGAATTCTAATATTTTTTTATAAAAATAGCAAATGTTTCAAAATTTTGTGACATGATTTGGACATTCTATGCCCAGATTGTTATGTTATCAGTCAAAAATCTATAAAAAAATCATCTACAAAATCTTAAGGCAAGAAAATAGATTTTTTGTTGTTCAAAACGTTATTATTATATTTTATATATTTATAATCATATCTCTTACACATCGCCACGTAAATTGATCCATAAGCAAGAACAAATATAGTCATGATAGAAATTTCTCGAAACTCATGAATAATAATTACACGTTACATATAAATGAAAACAGATTGTCATTCCGCAATGCTCGCAATTTATTCAACGATGACAAGAAATTTTCATAGTCTACAACGTGGCGAGTATTACCATAAGCGCAAAAATGCGAGAAGTGTATTAACATGTCTATTCGATTAAAATCCTGTTGTGATTGCATTATAGAAGCATTGTTACACGCACGCACGCACGCACACATGCACATGCGCACACACACATACACACACACACACACACACAACACACACACACGTACGGATCACCGGGAATTATTTAAGCGAGACGATTACTTTAGTAACAACCGCATATTGTGGGTTAGTGACGTACTATGAGAGAAAGTATTTGAAACACGATCCTACCACAGAGAAGAAGAAAGTTTTAAACGGAGAAAGTATCACGCTACATTTTGAAAATATACAAACTTTACACGACTTGGAAACGTCATTGACAGAATAATCGTCTCAATAATGCTGAAAGCAATTAAACGAAGAAGTGTCTAATGGCACAATAAATAAGACGCGCACTAATTTAGTTATTTTTTTAGATAATTAAATAAAATTAGATTAGATTAGATTTTAGGTAAATATTTTTTTAGTTATTTTTTTAGATAAAAACATTTTTTGCTTAGATATTTTTTCTCTCAGTATACGATTATATATATATATATAATCGTATACTGAGAGAAAAAATATCTAAGCAAAAAATGTTTTTATCTAAAAAAATAACTAAAAAAATATTTACCTAAAATCTAATCTAATCTAATTTTATTTAATTATCTAAAAAAATAACTAAATTAGTGCGNATATTTTTTTCTTTCAGTGTAATAATCATATTTCATTTAGTACAGACGTTTCCGTAATGTGATGACTAGAAAACGCTTCGCGTGATATCCATTCATCTATAAAATGCATTAACATGAATATGTAGTGACTAGAATAACGTATAACTCATAATATGTCATTGTTAATTTGCTTCATCTTGACAAAAGTAAATTACTGATTATTATATGACTTTTCAACATACATATTGAAGGAAACTTGACTTTGTTGTTTTGTCTGCGTTATTAGATTAGTAAAATTAGCTTCCACGAATAAAATAATTTCTTTTTTTTTGAGCTTGTAAAAGAAAAGAACAATGAAGTAATAGCGGAATTCACAGTTTTAAATGTTTATTAACCGATTTTTGTACATTTTACAAGAAGTAGAATATACTTACATTTTTTCACAAATAATTTTATATAAATCCGAGCATTGATAATTTTGGTCCACATGCGATTATTAGTCTTCAGCTGGAAAGACACTATTTCACGGATTAGGACGGAGAATATAGCTTCATTTAGAATGGATTGAATATAATATCGGAATCATTATTTTATGAGCAGACGAAATTTGGGGAAGGTCCAAAGTTAATGTACATTTCACAAGAAGAAAAAGTACATTTCTCGCGTTTATCAGTCGTGCACAATCGTTCTTATCTTATCGTTCATTAACTCGAATCCGATTTACATACTTTTCTTTAGATGATTCATTTATTTTCTCAACGAAATATTATTCTTCCGTCCTTGATCTTTTTACTTTAATATGATATAAGAGATACGACGTGCTACTGATCTCTCAATAATGGTTGGTGCGATGAAAAGGATATTTCTTATTTTTTTCACAGTTGCACATGAAAGTATATTTTGAAATCATCGTGAATTGACTTAACTTTTAAGTCCAGCGTACATAATAATGTATATTAACTTTGGGCCTTTCCCAAATTTCGTCTGTTGGTAAAATAATGGTTCCGTCGATATTATATTATTAATCTATTCTAAATGAAGCAATATTCTTTGTCCTAACTCGTGAAATAATATCTTTCCACCTGAAGATCAATATACGTAATCGCACATAAAACAAAGTCGTCGCTCCGGTTTACATAAAATTATTAGTGGAAAAACATAAGCATATACTGTTTATGAAAATTGTGTCCGATATTTTTTAACGATTATATTATAAATAAACGGAAAATAAATATTATGTACATAAAACAATTTTATATTTTTTTAAATATTTTTTCCACTTTTACATTTTAAACGTCCAATATATATAATTATGTACATTCAGAAAATCGTACTTCTTAACAACCAATTTTATTCGAACAAAAACATTTTTATCAGGATTGTCCTTTGAGATAATTTTACAAATTATATATATATTTTATTCCAATGAGATCAATGTGCGGGTCTTAAAGAGTTAAGACAATGACGTCATCATCTTTTGTGATAAAACATTATTACATAATAATGCGCTGTATATGAGAAATGTATGCTGAATGGCATACGTTTGAATTTAATCTCATACCATTGAATTTAATCTCAAATTAAAAAAGGTGATATTCGTAATACAAATATTGCTGCTTGATCGAGATTGTATTCGATAATTTCTTTTTTTTTATTGCACCGCTTAGATGAATTATTATGTCGAGGATACAGTTCACAAGATTGCGTGTTGAAACCACATCCGCAATGAGAATACATTGTGTATTAATCATGATCCAAAAAAGGAACGTATGCGTCATTGACAATGAGTCGAAGAGAATGTACGCCTTCGCCTTACAGTGGAATCGAATGCATAACAATTATTCGTTTGCGCTCTAGTGACGTTTTCCGATAATAGACGTGTCGTTATCTACATTTCGTGAAGCAAAAATGAAGTATAAAAATATTCTCGCTCATAAGATATATTTCGAGCTAATGAGCGAGCATTAAATGATAAAATGGACAAGCTTCTTTCCGCAAAATGCAAGATTTATTTCTTGAAAACGGGTCACGCGAAATGGAAGCCAAGAAAAAAACGAATCCGATCATTTTCTTTTGAATTTCTTCGAGTATGTGGAATGCACCGCATCGTCCATAAATAAGAGAACAGGCAAAATAAAAGTAACATTCGCTTTTGCAGACTTCGCAGAAGAATTGGCACCGTTGTATCAAGTTTCCAGGAAAGTCGTGCTTTCGAGCTCTATGTTATCAGTTTATCACGAAAGCAGTTTTCATTTATCCGCACTGAGAAAAATATCCGATCACTTCTGATCAGATAATCCAATTAGAAAATAACAAACGTATATATATTATTAAAATACAAAACGTATATATATTATTAAAATTACAAACGTATATATATATCCGATCAAGTGCAATGTCGTCCGATCATTTCATCCATTCAAGTCGAGCTTTTATCCGATGAAAATTACAACGGATAAATTATTTTCCGATTAGATTTCATCAGTGACTTCATCGGATACTTTTATCGAATAAAGGTCCGTCCATCACTTGATCGGACAGTAAAATAACAATCGGATGTATCATCTAATCGGTTTATTCGATTGGAATTTTCTCTTAATGTGGACCACTCGTTCGTTGTACTCTTATACGAGGTCAAATGACATTTGATCCATTATATGCGCATCTTGAACACGCGCTGGAATACGGATGAGCAGATGTTGCCTGTTATCGCGCGTGTATAACGTTATCAATGCATGTAGTTAGACACTGTGACAGAGCGTTATGTAAAATGTGATTGAGGAGAAACATAACTCAATATCTTCCTCGGTGATTTATGATGGCAACAAGGCTAGGCTTGCAATGACGAATCACGGATACTTCGAATTGTTTATAGTTGTATGCACAGATTCATCATAAATGGTACAGGATTAATGAGTTATATCTGTTATCAGTTTATCATGAAAGCAGTTCAAGGTCTGTTTGGATGAGCATATGCAAGGTTGACAGAACTAATTGGATCGTTCTAGAAATGCTATCTGTAAAGTTCCTATTGCTGGTGTACACGCTCCCGATATTGCCGAGAAAGAAAGAAAAAATCTTAGATAATTTTATCTTTTAGTTCTTATCTTATAGTTCTCTTATCTTCTATAAGATGTCTCATTTCAATGGAAGTAATAAAATATCTTGAAAACGAAATAACTAACGATAATATAGTTCACATATAAACCAAAAATGTAGGGTTTGGAGAGGAATATAAGTTAGTTGACTTCATTATATAGTCAATAATAATAATTCAAAGTCATTTTAACTTTATTTTTTTATAGAATCGTATAACTTTTTTTTTTCTTTTAATACAAATCGATTCCTCTCTCTCTCTCTCTCTCTCTATGCGCGCGCGCGCGCGCGCGTGTGTGTGTGTGTGTGTGTGAACCATTCGTTTTCAAGATATTTTACTGCTTCCATTGAAATTGTTGCTTTAAATGTTGCAAATAACGGTCATGATAGAAAAAAAATGTTGTTTACAGGGTTTACAGTTTACGTATAATATATATTTCAAACCCTACAACTTTTATCTGAACTATTTTTTTTGTCAATTGCTTCATTTTCAAGATATTAAAACGGGACACTCTATATATTTTTAGTGAAATCTCACGTTATTTAGTGTCGATAATTGAGGTATGCACTTTTTAAACGGCTACGTTGGTTGCATAAAATGACGGTTAAACTTTAACCCACAACCGAGACTGATGTGAGTTCAAGGCTCATAAATTATTATATAACATTATTATTGGGAGTACAAATTAGTTCGGTCCGTTTTTTTTTGTGGTCAAAAATGCATTTATTTCAGAACAAAATGAATGAACAGATTAATCAAAATATTGTCCATCACTGGCTACTACTTTTTCCCACCTCTCAGGCAATTTTCGAATTCCATCTCGAAAAAATGTCTCATCTTTTGGGGGGATCCAAGTTAGGAGCCAATTTTCGATTTCTGCGAAAGAAGTGAACCGGTGACTTGTCAAATCGTGTTGCATCCGTCGGAACAACCAGTAATCAGAAGGAGCAATATCCGGCGAATACGGCGGGTGCGGTAAAATATCCCACTTGAGCGTTTCCAAATAATTTTTTACGACTTTTGCGACATGAGGCCGAGCGTTATCATGCAGAAAAATAACTTCGTCATGTCTTTGCTCGTATTCCGGCCATTTTTCTCGTAATGCACGGCTTAATCGAATCAATTGTAGCCTATACCGATGGCCCGTAATGGAATCGCCAGATTGTAGCACATCATAGTATACAACACCCTTTTGGTCCCACCAGATACACAGCATGACCTTCGAATCATGAATATTCGGCTTTGGTGTTAATGTTGAGGTCGATGGCAACGATTGACCGGGCATAGCGTAGTATTTTTTCTTCTTGAGGTTATCGTAGAATATCCATTTCTCATCCCCACAATCCGATGTAAAAAACCCTTTTTTTGTTGCCTTTGAATCAGCTGCTCGCAAGTAAATAATCGCCTTTCAACGTCTCTCTGTTTCAGTTTATAAGGCACCCAATTGCCTTGCTTGTGAATCATTCCCATGGATTTCAATCGTACGGAAACTGCTTGTTGCATAACTCCCAATGATTCTGCAAGCTCCTCTTGCGTTTGACTCGGATCTTCATCGAGTAATGCCTCTAATTCTTTATCTTCAAATCTTTTTGGCTGTCCAGAGCGAGGCTTGTCTTCAACGCTGAAATCACCATTCTTGAAACGTCGAAACTATTCCCTACATGATTTATCAGTTGGAGCATTGTCACCATAAACTTCTACATTCGATGCGCTTCAGCTACACTTTTCTTCCAATTAAAGCAGAAAACTAAAACCTCCCGCAAATGCTGCTTAGTTAACATAAAATTTGACATATTCAACATAGTAAAAAACAAGGGTTTTGTACGAAACTCAAAGCGATATAAACTGAATATTATTGACAGATATCTAACCTCTCTGAAACCACCGAAATCAGCTGTCACTATGAAACATTCATAACAGCCAGAGCCATCTTTTGAAAACGGACCAAACTAATTTGTACTCCCAATATATAATGCTCGCACATCCCACTTTTTCAGCTTTTTCACACATACTTCACCTGAGTCGAACTATAAGGTGAATGATGTTGCTTCGAGTATTAAGCAATTTAACAATGAGTCATCGCGTAAAATGCCCGTGACGCAACACAACATAATTGCGAGTAATATCGTGTTTGTTACAGACAAGAAAGAAATTTTGCACGGTGTTAGTGGCGACTTTAAAGCCGGAGAATTAGTGGCTATAATGGGACCTTCCGGAGCCGGAAAGTCGACATTACTGAACGTTCTTGCCGGTTTCACGTGAGTAATAATTAAAAGATACAATTTAACGGTAATAATATGCAATAATGATATCTATAATCATGGGCGATAACTTACTTTGGACTACCCTCAAAACGTCATTAATCAATTTTAGATAATAAGTTACTTAGTTTTGGATCCTTAATGTTCCGTCTCTATTTCTATTTCCCATTTCACAATTTTTTACATAAAATTAAGATCTTGTTCTGTTAGAAAATTTGTTTAATTTAGTTGAGGTTACGTTTAGGTAACCACAAATCGTGCTACGGATTTGAATTAGATTTATTGAATATCCTTACATGAAAGTATTACTGGCTATGATAAATTGGCCAGTGATAAGTTATCATTGCTCGGTAGTTTCACACATATTAATCATATGAATGATAAAACTACTGAGCAACAATAATTTATCACTGGCTAAATTATCACAGCCAGAAATATTTTCCTATAAGAATATGAGGCGTAAAGTTTTAAAATAGCACGACAGTGTTCGTCTTCTCATTTGTTATGTATAGACGGAAACTTTTCAGAAATTAACTTTTGTTGCACGTTATACCGCGGTGTACGTGAATAATTACGTACGTGTAAAAATTGCATGATGAGACAAGAAGAATTGCAGCAGAATATAAAATGTTCGATTTATTATGTAGAAACGCTGCTTAATAAGCACGTTTACGTAGAACATGCTTCTGTCGAGTGTTCATGATTAGTCATATTTTTTACGACATTATCGACATTTTACGATATTCGTATCTGGATTATTTCGTATTTTCCATGGAAATTGGAGACCCGTAGATAAGGTAGACTCAGTGACAGGCTATATTCTACGTATAATTTAATTAATGAGTGTTTTATTAATTAATAATATATTTGTAAAAATTCACACAAAATGTATAGTCTGTGAAATATGATTTTCTTCGGATGACAGATTCGTTAAAAATAAATTTGAACGCGATATGTTTTATAATAATTACAGCGCTAATTCTGTTAAGATTTCTGCGAGGAATCAAATCTATAATCGAATTATTTTCTGAATTCCACAAAAAGTCACGCAACAACTTTGCGCCTTGGACTCGTACAATCATAACAATATATCATTTGAATCATAAAACATATCATTTGAATTAGCATATCTGATTTGGCTTCTGAGTTAGTACCATGCGTCCTTCATAAATTTTCTTTTGACGGTTAATGAATATTCCATTTATTTTTTTGCGAGAGAAACAAAATTTATGAAAAACGTGGTTCTGACCCGGAAATCAAAAGCATTGATCTATATCGCGATAGTTTAAAATATCAAAATATGTAATGTATCTATCAAACGTAATCTAAAATATTAATTTTTCTCGTCATTATTTTAGAGTAATTATTTTAGAGTAAGATGTATTTGTTTACTTAAATTATACCTACCTCTAGACTGTGCACGTTTTATGCGCAAAAATGTGCAATAAATATTTTAATAATATTTTAATAATATTTAACACATATTGCTCTGAGATATCCTACATATGAGAAATTTTTTCTCATACGTCATACGTATATATTGCTTCATTATTATTTGAATACTGCAGATAAATTAATACAACTACGCTGACTAACCTCTCTGCTAAGTACGGTAACCAATANTATTTTCATATTGAATTGATGAAATTAATATTTCATGAAACACGTTTTCATAGAATTTATTAGCAAGGCGGATAAATGATAAACGTCAGGGTTCGTTCCTTAATTTTTATTTATTTTCTCTTCCAAGGTCTATTTGCTCCGACTTAATCCTATTTATGCCCAAATTTTACTTTATTTAGACTTAATCCTATTTATGTGTCTGCTTTTTACTGCTATCTTTTTTTCGTAATAATCGAACATCGTAGATGTAGAAAATGTCAATAGAGTGGTTGAATAATATATATGCTTTACGATAATAATTAATATAATTTATACCAATAATAATGAATCTCAGTGTATGTGTTAGTATGTTATATTTTTGGAGACAGATGCGTGTTGAATATATTCGTACGAAACATATATCTTTTTTCTCCGTTCCTTATTTTTCCATTATTTTATTGTTTTAAACGACAAATTTGATGCTCAAATAATATGTATTTTCGATATTTCCCATGTGGCTGATAGTGTTTAATTACAATTATAGCATTAATGGCATTTATTTGTCTAAAAATATCGACGTCGAATGTTACAGGGTGAAAGGTACAAGCGGAGAAATCCTTGTCAACGGAAAAACTCGGTTACCTTACAGTGAACGATGGAAAAGAAGTTCGTGCTATATACAGCAGGACTCCATCTTAAGAACGAAAATCACCGTGGGAGAAGCTATGACTGTAGCTGCTCATTTGAAGCTCGGTTGTTCAATAAGCTCCGCTTATAAGCACTCGCAGGTTTGATATAATCGACTATCCATACTATAAAAATATTAAATGGGATATTTTTCCTCAACTTCGTCTTTTGCTCAAATAAAAACGAAAAAAGAAAAAACAAAAATTTTATCCTGATGGATCGCTCGAAAGAAAAATTTCGGTCACTTCAGATCTATTTCAAATTTTATTCCAAGTATAAAATATGCGTTTCGCTTTACAATTGCATCATTAATTAGTATCTAAGGTCTCGATCGCCTTCCTATTATTTATGACATTTCCGATTTCACATTCCTTCAATTCATAATTCGCGATTTTATTTTCATTTAATACGCAGGTTTTGGAACTACTGGAAATGCTAGGACTGACCCATTGTTACGATACTTTATGCGGGAAATTGTCGGGAGGTCAGAAGAAGCGACTCGACATTGCCTTCGAACTCCTAACCAATCCTTCAGTATTATTTCTTGACGAGCCAACAACCGGTAAGTAATTTGAGTGCTGACATTTTTATCGCGCCTGTGATTCCAATTTTATCATGCTCTGCGAATTTTATCCTCACCAGGAGTGAATTCTTGAAAATTACGTAATGTCATAAATCAAATAGATTTAGAAAAGCTAAGCAGGTAGATACGTAAATAAGAGAGAAAATAGAATCGCAAGACGTGAAAGAAGGGACGCAAAAAGACGGATAATGATAGTGCTCAATTATAACCTTCTAGATATCATTAATAAACGTGAGGTAATAAATATCATAACTCACGAGCGCATTCATTAATCAGTATACAATACAATACAATCATTACATGTATAAAAACGTCATAGAGTGTTAAGAGGGAAAAAAGAGGAGAAGCCGGAAAGGTGAACAGTGCTAGATTGTAAAGTCGTGCACATCGATCGTAATATAATTAACTATAAATGAACTAATTTATACTTATTTTGTCGTGTTTTCGTATTAATCGCGGTTAATAATACAGAAGGCATCTATTATCGTGATTCCATCGTAACATGATAGACTTAATAATAATCATTTACGATGGCGGTCTATTATTTCACAATAACTACGAGTTGCGCTCATTTCCGTTGTATTACACGGCAGAAAAAATTGCGTGACGGTACATTCTGTCCCGTGACTAGCGACAATCGAGTCGCAGGATATTGCAATCGCCTGTCGCAACTTACGATATGTACTTCTGTTTGCTTCATTCCATTTTCAGTCTTTTTCTCTTTCAGTTTTGCTTACTTCATACTTAACGCATACATGCAAACATGAATCTACCACGAATATTTGCATTGCAGAAATAATATCATTAGTCGCTGTGTTATCGATTCAATAGAATTTCTAGCGCCTCGAATAAAATGCAAGGTGTTCAAGGAAACTATGATTGAGAAAGATTAATATCGCGCTTCGTTCTTTGCGTGCGTATCATTATTATCATTATTTAATTTAATGGGATTTAACGATATTCAAGAGAGAAAAAAGTAATAATTACTTATTCTAGTAATACTGCTATTCGATTAAGAAAAGATTGACCGTTCGGGAGCGGATTTGCGATTAAAATTGACACTTTTCACATGTACGCCTTGAGATATTAGCGTGCAATTTTATTTTTTTATTTTTTTAATTTTTTATTTTAAATAAAATAAGCTAAAAGTGAAACTTTGGTGAAAAACTACAATTATATTAAATATTATAAAGACTAATATACCGAAAAATATGCAGAACGTTAAAAATACTATAAAAACTAAACATTAAACGTAAATTTCAGAATTATTTTGTTTTAAAAATACAGTAAATTTCATTAAACGTAAATTTCAGGATTATTTTGTTTTAAAAATACAGTAGTGTTAAGTTCATAATTTATTGTAATACCCGAAATATACATATACACATATTCAAACATTTACATACCTTCTTTGTTGTCTGTACGTCTCTATTAAATCGACTAATGAATAACGAATTAATTAATATAATGAATACATATATATACATATATATTGAATATTAATAAAACAAATAAAAAATAATAATATTTTAGTATTTGTAATATTGTATATATATATATATATATATATATATATATATATATTATCTCAACTTCGTTTCAAATTAATTAGTTTATTATTCAAATAGCTAGATGAAATATGTGGAAACGTAATTATACCTGAGAAATACGAAATTTAGGAGAGATTTATCATCTGTTGCGCTACTGAAAAATATGACACTGAATCTTTATAACTTCCTTATGACGTCCGGCTTCTTTTTCAGGCTTGGATTCCTCCTCGTGCAGTCAATGCGTCGCGCTTATGAAACGATTAGCCGAAGTAGAAAAACGTACGGTAATTTGTACGATTCATCAGCCAAGCGCTTTGCTCCTCGAGATGTTCGACTCTCTATACGTAGTGGCTGATGGTTACTGTATATACAAAGGTCCAATCAATTCCTTGTTGCCGCACATGGCCTCCGTCGGCGCCAACTGCCCGTCTTATCATAATCCGGCAGATTTTGGTAAATAAAGTAATTTAAATATAAACATAAGATGTTATCTGTGTGTGATATTATCACTACTGATGGTGATCCATAAATGTATAGAAAGTTTCAAGTAAACGAATCGGCTCCCATTTTTCGTAGAAATCCTTTTTGAATATGAAATTATATGTGTACAGAGTATACCTTGTAAGTTGCAAGGAAACGAAACATCCATTAATTCGCCAGGTAGCGCTTTTGAATAAATGAAGTTTAGAACACAGTATCTCTTTTAGCGACACGTTGTCGTTTAAATACATTTAATAATTACAGTTTTTTCTATATTGTATAAGATAAGTTAATCCTTAAATGGAAGTTAATCCTTGAATTTGTTTCAGTTCTCGAGGTGGCAATCGGCGAATACGGTATTTCCCTCGACACTCTGGTGTCGGCGGCAGAGAAGTTGCAAGATAATCAGAAATCAATTGCGTTTACCACAGTGCTGCCTGAAACAAGTAAGATCTTCCGTTCTCTCATTACTTCCTTCGCAGATATTTTCAAATATCCACGAAAATGATATACTCGAGTACATACGTAAATAAGACCGTCATATCTCGAATGACAAATGATGTTTAACAAATATGTAAGAACCGACAGTCCCATGTACGCACTTTATATAAAAATTACAAATATATAGTGTGAATTCAAGAATTCTCCCTGCAGTATGAATATTTAACAATACGATAAGATTCATATCATTATTACGTTATTTATATCAATCCGTAAAAATAAAATGTTTCGCATCTAAAATGGGCAGAAAGGTTGTTCCTTGAATAATTTACGTAAGCGTCTAAAGTGGTTTCCGCTCGCTACTACATATATCTTGAAAAATAGCCTCATTTTTATAGCTCTTGTTTTCGCACGCATAACAGTTTACATTTCGTTGGCATCAGATCGGCTTCTCCGGGAATGGAATTAATGGTGATTTTATGCGTGTGATTTCAGCAAGAGATGAGAAAGACCCATTAATACCTGCCGGCTTCCTGGCGCAGTGTTACCTTCTGTACAAAAGGCAACTGTTATGCTTGAAAAGAGATTATACATTGTTGTTAGCTCGATTGCTCTGTCATCTGATAATTGGCCTAATTTTTGGTTATCTATATTTGGGAAGCGGTTATCGAGCTAATGTCTTAGCGAATTACGTCTATCTATATGGATCACTGCTACTTCTTGTCTACACCGGGAAAATGGCGGTTACTCTTGCCTGTAAGTATCTAAGTGAATTAAATCGTTTAAATAAATATTCGGTTATACGGTGCGTTATTAACGCTCAAAAGGCACCATGTTTCGTTAGGAATATATATAGTCGTTTATTATTTCCGTCTATGAATAATTTATAATTTTGCAATGCAACAAAGATATTATCGATACTAGCTTAATTTTATTCTTATCGAATTCGCGAATTTGTCGTAGAAAAACAATGATGAGACTTAGGAAAATATTTCTTGGAACTTGAGAAAATATTACAACTTGTCGCGTATATTATAAAATTATGCAACAATAAATTATCTGTATAATTGCCATGATATTGGACTTTTAATTTTACTTTTTACGACTATACTTTTTGCAAATCGATTCCATGTAATTATTAACTAACGAGCACTAGTTACTTTCAAGTTCTGCTAACTGTTAGTTATAATAATATAATTGTTCATCTGTAATACGTACACTCATGAATATGTTTCAATCTACAATGTGCAATTAACTGCAATAAAATGATGCATATAAATTGTATGAATATATATTAGATGTAAATCATATGAATATATACGCACGCGCGCGCACACGCACAATAAAGTTACTTTTCGAATTTCTTACAACTTTGCTATTAAGCATTCTACCCGGATAGTCTAATTTGCAGAAGATTTTACGTAGTGTCTAAATTTTGTTGGTAATTTGTTAATAAAAATACAACAGGATCTGCTAACAGAGTATGATGACAGATTGACGGCCGAAAAACCGAACAAGATCTGTTGTTTCATCACTATTTAAATGTATTTAAGTGGAACATACTGCAAATCCAACTCGGTTTCTGCCGCCGATCTACTGTCAACTTTTTCTGTCAGCAGACTCAGTCGACGGAACACGAACTTAATATGGACACAGATGGATCTATCACGGTATTTTTATCGAATCCCCTGCCAATTTGCCAGCATATTGTTAACATTTCGCTTACTGGCCGATTTTCAACTGTACATTCAACGTTCTATAAGAGCATTGACCTTTGTTAAACTCACAAGAGACCTTATTATAAATTTTATTATGAACATGTAAAAATATTACTTATATATAAGATCTATAAAAATTATCACATCAAGATTAATTCTCAAAAATACGTTTATATTATTCATTAGATACATGTTTACGTTTGCTTGTTATTTTAATCTATAACATACAACATCGTATGCTATCAACAATTATTAAACACGATTGATATTTTCACAGAATAATGATTTCTTAGTGAGCAGGAATTAATTATTTCTTCTTACGCGTATAACAAGAACCCTTATAAAAAAAATATTGCTGTCTGCGATCGTTTATTCGTACGACTACTTTATCACCGATCAGCTTATCACAGCTAATAATACTTTTTATAAGAGAAGTGTATATGGTAAAGAGATATTGAAAGTCAGATTTCACCAGTTTGCTTCATCCCGATTTCATATGATCTGTCGCAATAACCGGATTTCGTTATGACCCAGCTATATATTTTCGGCTTACCAAATGTACGTTTTGATTGGCTTGTGAATTTGATTATCCTGCTCGGGGTATCTGTTATTACGGGTAAGCTATAAGTCTATAAGTTCCATCGTCATTCCAATTTCCCCGCCTTTCGAAATGCCAAAGCACCGATCAACAATAATTGCCCCCGTCGTTGCTTCATATATAATAACTCACACATTGCAATATTTGTGCAATATTCGCGAACGTTCGATCATTATGTCGAAATGTAGGTCAAGGAATCGCGCGCGAATATCTCTTTTATAGTTGGTACGATTAAATTTCGTAGAGTATTTACAGGAGACACGACTATCGCCAGTGCCAAATTAATGACATATTTACATGTGAGTAAACGTCAACGTCACGTGTGTATGGATTAAATGATCAAATGATTTATAACGTTATTTAATAAATTCGACGAATTTTATAATTCTGCGTCGACAACAATTAAAGATAATTCACATATTTTATATTATATATTCAGACAGATTTTCTTTACGATTTTGTTAAAATGTTTGCATTGATATTATTATGTACAAGCGTTCCATGTCATTATTACAAAATAGTTTACTTCATAACAATATGTTATTAAAAACACACACACACACACACATCCTTTGTAACAAAGTATTACTTGGTAAATTGCTGCAATAAATTGGTCAGTGATAAATTACTGTTGTTCATTAGTTTTATCATTCGTATAATACTAAAAGTAACAAAACTACTGAGCAACAGTAATTTATCGCTGGCCAATTTATCACAGCTAGTGATATTTCATTGTAAAAAATGTAATACATATACTAATTAATTGTATAACGCACAACAAGTATGTCTGTATATATACTATGGAGCGTGTGTAAATAGGCGATATAAAATGTGTTCGTGCGCGTGCGTATAACAACAACGTGTATCACTATGTTAATAATATTTATCATGAATACATGCCGATTTTTATTATATATATATATTGAAACTTTATTTGTTTTAGTTCCATTGGAGATACAGATTCTCACAAGGGAGCATTTTAATCGTTGGTACCGATTAACACCGTATTACATTAGTATATTACTCGTTGAAATACCTTTCCAAGCGGCATGTGCGACAACGTACTTGACTGTGAGTTACTGGTTAACTGGCCAACCCATGGAGACACATCGTATAATTTCGTTCATGGGAGTCAGTATAGCTGCTAGCTTAACGGCACAGGCATGTGGTTTCTTTCTTGGTGCTACTACACCGGTTAAGGTAAATTTTGCTATTTCATATATACTCGTATATGGAAATTCTTTTGCCTCAAGTTATTCGTATAAATTCACACACACACACACACGCGCGCGCGCGCGCGCGCGCGCGCGTGATAGTTTTTAGAATAATTACATTAAAATAGATACGAAAAAGAAGGTGCTGAACTTTATCATTTTTTACAGATCGCAGTATTTGCTGGTCCCATAATTTTGGTAGTTTTATCCATCTTCGGTTTCTGCACCCGTTACATCGATCTACCAGTTTATTTCCGCTGGATGTTCCATATATCGTATTTCCGAGCAGGTTTCCACAACCTAGTATACACCATGTATGGATTCGATAGGACGGAATTGAAATGCGATGATTTCTATTGTCACTTTAAAAAACCCATTAAGTTCCTCACAGAGATGGATATCATCAACGTAAACGTAGTGAACAATCTAGTGCTGATCATTGGCATCGGAGTATTAATGCATCTCTTAACCGCTAGTGCATTGTGGTGCAAACTTAACAGAAGATAAGCTAAACTACTCTATCTTGTCAACACAGTATTTTAAAGATATTTGTGGAGTTCCTCCGCAGAATAAGCTGTCGCAAATTTTTTTACACGCTCTTGAATGTGAAACACAGAAATCACATTGTTTGTTGTAAAGTTTGTCGACAGCTTGTTAACAAAAATACAACAGGATCTGCTGATAGAGTATGATGACAAATTGAGGGCAGAAACAGACTATGATCTGAAGTTTCATTATTATTATTTGAATGTCTTTAAATGGAGCATATCGCAAATCTAACTCGATTTGCTGCCGATCTGCCGTCAAGTTATGTCAGCAGATTCGATCGACAGAACACGAGTTTAATGCGGAGTCAGATGGCTATGGAATCTGCACAGTTCTACACAATTTAATCTGCACGGTATCTTGATCAAGTCTGCTGCCAATTTGCCGGCATACTGCTAACATTTTGCTTACCGGATTCCAGTGAAGATTTCCAGTGGAAATTGGAAACAGAATGTAAATAGAAAAGTTACTGCGGCATTGTCATATTTTGCTTAAGTTCCTGCTTAAGCTTCTCTTCATCGTCTCATTTTGCTAATTGAAATGAATCTTTCAAATCTTTCCATTTTAGGGATATTCTCTATCAATGTAAAATTTGGTAAAGATTGGCAGGTTACATTGCTGAATCGTGTCTTTAATAATTACTTCGACGAAAATTGTTAACTTTGCAGATCTTAAACCTTAACATTAGGAATACCGACGATTAACGACTTATTTCTACTAGAGCAGTCAAAATGACAAGTTTTGGAATAAATATATAATGCAAGGGAAAAAATGTTTATTTATTTATTTTTTTTAGTTTTATTCAACATCAATTAAACGATATAAAATGGTATAAACGATATAAGACGATATAAAATACACTATTATAAGTTTGACTGAACTTTTATAAAAAATTACAATCCAGTCAAGTTTAACTGCTTTGGTAGTTTTAACATTAAACTTTAGCGAGATTTTCGTAACGTTATTATTATCCGTACAATGTGTCTGCTCGCATTATTATATAGAATACGAAAAAGTGCAATTATAGAAATATTTCATTTATTTTAACATTCTTGTACATTAATATTATATCTTATATATCTGATAACACTTTTGTGCATTAATATTGAATTTTACGAGGGTTTCACACATAGAGTCGACATCTGCGCTAACGAACTAAAGGATGAATTAAAAGATGAATTATATTCTATTTAGTAAAATAAGATGGGACTAGTCGGAAATTATTGTCACAAAAACCGTTATAATCGTTAGTAACCTTTGAAATGAATCATTTTGATAATGATGCGTGCACGGAAGTTATAGATGTATGTATGAGGATTAAAGCGATAAGATCCTTATAAAGCTGAGTGTCTTTATGT